CAGTCTGTAGCTCATTTAATCAAGGGCTCCCCCTCAACAGAGGTGTTCAGAAGGAATGGATCTTGTCCTGTGAACTAGAGGCTAAAACAGGAGAGGCTGCTTTGACTTTGGCTTGTACATCAAAAAAAACCCCTTTTAACAGAATAGTGCATATTGGGGGAGAACAGAAAAAAAAACCCCTATGCCCACCCAATCCATGTTGTTTGCAGGTATTACAGAGGAGAGGGCTGCTTTTTAAAGCCTGTAATTTCCTTCCACTGCTTGAGTAAGTGTATAAAATTTAAATCCCTCTTGCTTTACGAATTATTTTGTTGAACAATTGATTAAGATTTTTGTTACTCTAGCCCTGCACTGGCAACAGAGGCAAATGAGCTAACTGAACTTCTTTGCAAACACTCCAGTCTCCTGTTTTACCAAATCTGATAGCTGAGGATGGAAATGTTGCCCTATTCTTCACCGCAGTGTTCAGGCCATCCACGTTCTCTGACAGAAAGATTTTGAAAAGGCACCAGACAAAAGCTGACAGATGACTCCAGACCTGGGACTTGTCGTGGCCTTTTGACTTAAATGACTTCAGGTATTGAATAGTAAGTGGTAATTATTAATGGAGCCAGGCAGCTTGGATATAATTTTTGCTTCCCTGTGCAAAGGAAACCTTGCACAACCAGAGAGCCTCTTAGCCCATGGCAGGCATTGTCACTCTCCTGCCCCTCCTGGACTCCTTCCAGGGTGATGCACCAGAAGTTATTTAGACTGATTTTTTAGATCAGCATTTTGCAATCCTTGAGTTTTGGTGGCAGTAGCAGCTAAAGGAAATACTCCCTTGTCTTCCCTTGTCTGGTTGTTCCTGCTCTGTACCTCCGTAATGTGGTTTTAAGCGCTGCCAAAGCCAGGCTGCCTGCAGTTCACAGCCTGCCTCCATCCTTGAGTTCCAACTCAGCTTTTCCATGAGAAGCTTCACCTTTAGGTGTCCCTGTCCCAGAGACACTCACCTTGGTTTCAGGTGGAAATGCATGTTGGCTGGTTAGTGGCTGCCACAGTTACAATAATCTTTAAAGAGGTTAATGATCCAAACTGAAGTCATGAAACCTGCCAGTTCCACTGGTCAGGTCGTGCTCACAAAAGATATGGCTCATTTATTCCTTATGGTGAAAATTTTCTTTATCCCTTGTTTGCAGTTCTCCTTATTACTTAATATAAAGCCTGCCAAAATGCCAAAAATGAGGACTTTAATTATGAAAATAGTAGAAAATCCTCTTCCCCCCCTGAGAAGTATATAGTTCATGGATGTGGACAGAAAGAGGGTGAATCATCATGCCTCTGTGCTGAGGGTGTTGAAGCCACAATGGTAAAAAGGAGTTCTAAAATGACTTTGAAACAATGACAGGGAGAGATCTTCTTAGATATTAAGATCAAGTTCCTCCTAAATGTAGATGCAGTTTTGGAGACAGTAATTTTTGAGGACTATAGTGAGGGCAGAAGAAAGTGCTGGAGTGAACTGTAGGCTGTAGGACATGTTAAGAAAAATGTAGATAGTACAGAAATAGCCTTTAGAGGTCTTCATAGCCTACTTTTATATGACAGAAGGTGAGTATCCCTATAATTTCCACTACACTGATGAAGAAACCTGAAAAAGTAGGGCTGACATGTCACAGCACAAGGTTAGAGCTACAAGCTCATTTGACTTCATTTGTGTTTCTAGCCCTAGTTCATAACCCAATTATAAGAGCCAAGACTTACCTGCCCTTGAGCTTCTTAAGTACCATTATTTGGCCCTGGCATGTTTTCAAATCCAGGCAGTTTTGCTGCATCACTTCGATTGTGTTTGCATTGGTTTGGTCAGAGCAACCTTTACAGAGCCTGAGTCCTTTCAGCAAGGTTATTAAGAGTATGTGCAAGGTACCCTGCATGGATTTAAAAAAAATGAAATCCTTTACAAGTTTGTGAAAGTAAAAGGCAAGACCATAAAATTCATAGGTTAAAATCAATCTAATAAATGGCCAAGCAAATGCATGCATTCCCGTAACATTTTATGACTCCAGTGAGACAGTAAGATCACAAAAATGCAAGTGGATAAAACATAGGTTGTTAGCTCTTTATTCTCTAAAGTGCAATTGCCAGTAATGGCTTTTGTCTCAAAATTTAAAAATGGAAAATAATAAAACTGTATGTCACACAAGAAGGAATAAAATGTATTTTAATAAAGCATATCTTTCTACTTTAAATAAAGTCAAATACATTTTCCCATTTTCTGCTGAGGAGCAACCATGGCACAGTGCCTTTTTCCATGCTGCATACATGTAAAAAACTTCTCAAATGTAAAGGCCCAGCCTCTCGGTATTTTTAAAAGCTCAGTATTTTTAAAAGTTGTACTCTGACAATAAAAAGACCTAATAATAAAAGATACTTTCATCTGGAAGATGTCTATGTCCTTTGGGACTGTCAGGCCTTCCTGAACATCCATTTTACATTCCATGAAGCAGATAAGCTTATGAATTCCACCATTCTCCTCAGCACACTGCTAGTCTAAAGCAAACTTTTCCACATGTAAGCGTGGAAGGAAAAAAAAAAAAAAAGGAAAACATTTCTGGAGCCACAGAGTAATAGATGTTTATTACTAACCCAACTTTCATGAATATCCCTTGTGCTCATATTTAATGTGTGGTCAACATTACACTGCTGTAATAGGGGCTCTCCTGACCTAGGAGGAGACAGGACATATATATGTGCCTGTCCTGCCACCTGAGCTGAGATTGAGATTAGATTGTGGTGGGTTACCAACTTGGCCCCAGGCAACAAGTGCCAGAAATGCTTAGTGGCAGGATTAAAGCTGTGCACATTTCTATTTTTCACTCCAAAAGGGGATGTTGTACTTCTGGACTTACTGGATTAACGTTTTTCTGAAACAGGATCATTCTCTTAGGGGAATAACAAACTGACCCTGCATGTTCAGCATTAGGCATAGGAGTACTTCTACCTTTCATACTTGTAAAATTCAGTAGGATCTGGCATCAGGATGACAGTTTCAAGCCCTTTAGGTATAGAATTTTCAGCTTAGGCTCATTTTCCGTGAGCATGCAGTGACAGGTACACCGGGGTTTGTGTGACTTGAATATTTTCAGTAAGTTGGAAGCATAGCACCAGTCAGACTTAAGAGAAAAACAGAACCAATTACTTAATGCTTAAACCTACAGGATGGCACATGCCGACTTTAGCCCAAATTGAGAACCCCCAGCCACGACCTTGTGGAGTCCAACTGAAGCCAGAGCTCCTACTCAGTGCTGAGAGCCTCAGAGGTTTATTGAGTGACACACAGGTCCTGGGAAGGCCAACAACAGCAAAAATCATTCTATTGCAAATGCAGAAAATATCAGTCAGAATGAGCAAAAGTCAAGTGCTTTCATTGCTTAAACAGAAGCAGTGCAAGGCTGGTATCTTTAAAAAAAGGGGGGTTACTCTCATGGTTCTCTTCCTAGGAGTTTCACTTCCTTTGGGTGTGTGGTTATTTCAGGTTAGCACAACAAGTGCCAGAAGAGAAGGCATTTTATTTGCTTGGGTTTTTTTATATTGAAGAACAGGAAAGACCACCATGTAGTTGAACAAGAGGAAGGATTACAAAAGCCTACCCTGAACAAAAGGAGCTATGTGGAAATCTTTCTACAATACAAAGGTTCACAGTAATTCCTTTCCTGTAAAGCCACACTGAACTCTCTGAACAGCTAATATGTGGTACCTGGGCCATGTCTAACCTGACAGTGATGTGAAAACTCTTTTTGTGGTGATCCAAGGTGATTCTCTGCCACATGTTTTGCTCTGTGAAAGGCTACACATCTCTTTAGGGGAAACAAGTGCCTTCAGGTTGTTTGCTTTTTCTGGTTTTGTACAACAGCTCTGGGCCTGGTACTGTTCTCTGTGAAGTCAGTTTAGCAGGAATAGGATCTGCTCTGTCATCTTAAGTATCGCCCACCTGTTCTCAAAACCACAGATTTCTCTAAAGAAATGTCTGCAGGTGCAATAGAGCAAGGCTGCAGCAAACAGTCACGTGCCTTTCTGTTTGCAGAGATGAGGCTCAGTTGCTTGTTTGCATTCTCTATATATGACTGTGCTTCAGAGAGAGCTAAACCCAGTTCTATTATGTAGAAGCAAAACAGAAAATACACAATTGGGACATCATTACAATTGTTGGAGTTGCTTTAACGTAGAGGCATGTGGAACCTGAACGGTGCAGGCAGCTTACCTGCAATGCTATCTATTGAAAAGAGTGTGGTTTAGTTATTTAATTATGCATTTTACAAAAACCTATTATCTTTCACCCTTGTGCCATCCCATTATGCTTATTTGTGCTACCCCAAGCTGATCCAGCCGTGGTGCTCTCCAAGCACTGCTTTTTGGCTGATCCTGTAACAGTGGTTTTTCCTATGGGCTCTGCTGGCTTTTCTGAGAGGTTAAACAGCACCTGAATTTTTACCATGTGAATTCTTGGTCTCCTGAGCCACAGATGTCACTCTGGCAGAAACTGGCTTAAATTTTATAGTAGTGTGAGTGTATCGACCTCTGACCTCCCCAAATTATACAAACAGGAAGGATCTCTCCTGCCCTGGGCCATGGCATGACCCAGGGAAGTTCCCCCCGCCTCCCTTGGCCCTGCCGAGCCCCTCTGCCTCAGAAAGCCTGATGCCGGAGGCCACTGCCTTCCAGCAGAATCCCGTTTTGGATGATGCATCCTACATCACTGCGCTGTCATTTGCTTCACCTTCAGTAGGCATATCTTAACCCCGCAGCTCCAAGGCATTTGCAGGCATCCAGGCATCTCCCACACACTTCCTTGCTCTGCAGTGCTGCTCCGGTTTTGCCAGATGTCTGCTGCCGACTGCTGTGACCCCGCCAGCTCTCCCCTTGCCCCGCTCTCTGGGCGTTCGGGCACCGCATGGCATGTGGTCCCGGCGGGAAGGAGGGACTGTATGTGCAGCACAGACCTCCCCATCTCCGTGCCGTACGCGATGCTGCTGGAGGCTCCTTCAGGGATGCCGTCCCGCCAGACTATTATTAAAAGGCCGAAGGAGTCCCAGGCACCAGCTGTGTACTCCCTTCCTCCTGTTTTCCCTCTCTGTGCTGGCGCCCCTTCCCGCTGGAGGTGCAGGTTCGGCTGCCGGGGGCTCCACCGAGGGCACGGCGGGGGCGCTGATCCGTCCTGCCGGCTGACAGCCTGGCAGTCTCCCTCTTCCTCCCTCAGCTGGCCGGGACGGAGGCTTAAGGAAAAAAATAAAAACCGGAAAAAAAACTTCTGGGGTCACTGCGAGGAGAAAAAAATGCCTCGTTATGTCTGCGGTGTCTACGAAAACGTCCCGAGAAGGAAGAGGAGGATTTCGCCCCGCGGGGACCGCAGGGTTCGGCGAAGGGGTGGGCGCTGGCTCCGGGACCGGGTCGTCCCCCCGCCTTTGGA